TGTGAGTGCTCTGGTTTGCACAGGAATTTCACAGAATGTTCCATGTTTCCACTCCCTACTGGCTGTGTGGCTTGGGTAAAGATACTTTAAATCTGTTTTCTTGTTTGGAAAATGAGGGGAATACCCCATTTGCCTAATGGTTTTGTGAGACTGTGCAAGTGATGTACAGGAAGTAGCAGGTGGTAGCAATGGGCACCTATCCTCTGTTTCCATATTTGAAGGAATCTGAAGGAATGCTAGTGCAGATTTCAGTCTCCACACACACAGTTCTGCCTTCTCTGTTAGAATCATAGTTGGCTGTCCTCAGAATTAGGGTTTAAAAAAATTATGCAGCATTTATTTTTGGTATTTTTATTTATGTAATTTTTTTACAAATATTTACAACTTTTCCTCTAGTTGTAGAGTCATTATCTTATCTTATTAATATGTTATCTTATATTTTAATTGCTTTATTATTATCTGATCCAAATAAACCCTAAGAAGTGATAGGACAACTTTGCTCAACCATTGAAAATGAGAAGTTGAGTCCAGGGACTAGGTGCTCAAAGTGACTTCGTACTTGTTGAGCATGACTCTGCTCAGCACCCCATGTGTTATCCCACATAGTCCTTACAGCACCATGAGGAGGGGTAGCCTCTGCTTTCCATATTTTACAGTTGAAAATATTGAATCTTCAGGAGGTAAAGCACAAGGTGACCTTATAATTTATTGCCAAATCAGGAAACTAATGAGTGTGAAAGGGTGCTGTTATTGCTTACTTCAGGACAATAGGCAAACTAGGATTGCCTGAGCAAGCCAAAACATGTGATCAATTTACTAAGTAATTGGGCCAAGTTCACACAGCTAACCAGTGGCTGAGCTACATCGTGAATTCTAGGCTTTCTGACTCCAACTATGCTCTTACCCATCTTGTACTTGAATATCTCTTCCACATTAGCTAATTCCTGGCATAGCCATAGGGACCAGTGGGGCAGAGAGCCAGCTACTGCCCCACTGGCCCCTGGGATAGAATTGTTCTTTTGTTTGCTGATCAAAGGATATTATCCAGTCTACCTCCAAGAGACTTGGAGTCTAGGCTCTAATGAGAACAGAGACAAGTGAACTGAAAATGACAACGAAGATTGATCAGTGCTGTGGAGGTGCACAAAAAAACTGAAGAGGACCTGGGAGGACACTCAGCTTAGATGGGTCTGGTGGCAGGAAGGAGTCCTGAGCAAGAGCTGTTGACAAGGTTCTGAGGATGAGTGGGGTCAGAGAAAGGAAAGGGCCTTGGAGGTATTGTATGAAGAGATCTGGGAGAAAATGGCACAAGTGAAGAACTATAGGTAGAAAGGCATGGACTTGGATGTCACACAAATGTGGCTTGGAGTTCTGGTGTCTTACATTTGACCTTGGGAAGATCACTTCATTTCTTTGACCTCTTTTGACTTGTCTGCTAAATGAGAATTCTACTAACCTTCCTTAGGTGTTTGTGAGTTGTAAATGAATGTGCATAAAGTATCCAGAACATTATTTTTTTAGTGATGTGTATTTCAGATTAAGAGCTTCACATTCTATGAATCCTATAGTCCTAACATTCAACAAATGACTTAATGCCCAAATCATATTTTAGAGTGATGAGACATCCTAAAACCAAAAGCTTTATAACTTAATGCTTAATATTTTTAAATTCAATTTAGATATTATTAAAGAGTTTAAAACTTGAGTTGGTGTACCCTGGCAAGCTAAGGGCTTTGGCATACCAACTCTTAGTGTGGGGAGGCTAAGGCTTACATCTGGGTGGTCCAAGTGTTACAGAACAAACAAGGGGGGCCCCGGACGATACACTATTATTAAAAGAAGGCCCCGGGTCCGTTATGTCCGCCGCCCTAGGAAAGACGTCTCTCAATGCCAGAGATTCGTGAAAAGGAAAGGAAATGTTTATTTAATGCTATACAAACTTCAAGTAGTGATCTAATGTCTTTATCAAAAATTCTAAAGTCCCTAAAAACACCCACAAACAGACACAGTCCTTCCTTCCTTCCCCCTTTGCCCAGTCCAGAGTACCGTATCTCAGAAAAGGAAATAGAAGTCCATGGCTCAGGCAGTCCTCTGGTTCTTCCCAGTTAGTACTCCATCTCGACTGGGAGACCTCCCTGGGTTCCTGGCACCCTCAACTGAGTTGCTGGGATCTCTGCTAAAACCAGGTGGTGGTTCCCCCTTCTAAAGCTGTGGGGGCGGGGGGGGGCGGGCGGGTTCCCACTCTGGCAAAGGCACATGGTCCTCTCTCCCAGGGCCACGGGAAGGGAGAGTCCACACTCTGTCAAGGCCACGTGGCTCTCTCTCTCTCTCAGGGCTGCGGGAAGGGAGAGTCCCCACTCTGTCCAGGCTGTGTGGTTCTCTCCCAATGGCTGCCATGTCTGGGTTTAAATCCCCCGCGCCAATCTTCTTCTGCAGCCCCATTTCTGACTCCTCCTACACTTGGGCACACTTGCCCTCAATCTGCTGTCTTCTCCAGCTTTTCTGGTCGCCATCGTGGGTCTGGGCAGGTGTCACCCCATGTCATGGAGCCAGTCTTCTCCCAGCTCCCACATAGGCACTATAACTCAGGGGACCTGCCCCCGAGGCCCCATCTTGTGGGGGGGGGGAGGTCCCTTTCCATCCCCCTGGCCTTGAGCATGGCCATAGCTATTTAGCATATCTAAGTGACCAGCCAAAGGCTATAAGTATGCTAAATGACCATGCCATGGATTAGCTGCAAAGCTGCCCTGCATGTTCTTGCTCTGTGTGGCCCTTCCTCCAACTCACACCTCTGGGGGAAGGGATGAAGACACCTTAAAATCTCCTGGACACCTTGAGTTCTGGACCCCATTTCAAATGCTTATTTGGGGTCCCCCCTCTTGGCTGCACCCTGTAACACAAGGCCAGGACTGGCCTCTTGGTTTGACTGGTTTAAGAATGGTAGTTTTTTAGATTGTGAAGGGATGATGTAGAGTGTGCTCACTTGAGTGTATCACTCAGCTCCTTTCTTCAACTCTTATCACATTTTAATCCTGAAGAAATTTGTGTCAGAGGAAATAGTTGAAACCATACAAGAAATAGAAATGAAATATTGTCCTTTTACTTCATTGTTGGGATTATTCCCAAAGTTATCCTGTGTTTCTAAAAATTCATTTACACATGCATTTTTTTGTTAAATGTACTAATTTGAGGTTTTGTTTGTAGTAGGTTTTACACCAGTAGGGAAAATTTCGTAAGTATTTTTAAAAAGATTTTTTTAGAGGGGAAGGAAGGGAGAGAAACATCAAGGTGTGGTTACCTTTCATACACCCTCTACTGGGGACCTGGCCCAAAACTCAGGCTTGTGCCCTGACTGGAAATCAAACCTGTGACCGTTTGGTTTGCAGAATCAATCCACTGAGTCACACTAGCCAGGGCTTACAAGGATTTTTGAAATTTGCCTCCCATATTAGCAACTCTTGTTATAGCAACTCTTGATTTTTTTAGCATGTCTTAGATGACTTCAGTGTGATTTTATGAGAGCTTAAGATAAAAGAATTGTATTTAATGCCTTAGGATTATCTTAGAATGTTGTGATTAATTGTTAATAGATGTGAAAATGCCACATTAAAAATGACATTTAAAAAAATGACATTCAAGGTGTAACTTTTGTTTTACAAACCTTCTTTGTGCCTTTCCTTACATAGGCACAAAACAGTGTATGCTTAAGAAGAAAAGCTGGTGAACAAGCTTTACCCTTTGAATTTCCTAATTTTGGTTATTTCCTTCTGACCCACCTGCTATTTATATAAAACCAGTGTATGGGAGGATACTAATGTTTTAGTAGTAGAGTGCCCTCTAGCTGTGGTTTAAGGAACCTGATAGATACTTTAGTGACTACTTAGTTTTGAGTGATTGTTTATAACATTGTTTTTATATTTGTCAAGCTGTTTGATATTTCTATAATTTTATTACAGAGGAAATATCATTAAATAAAAAGAAAATATTAAAGTATTGAACAGGGTATTGGTCTCTGATTAGCTTTAAGGCTTCTTTTACATTTATAAACTGTGGATATTGAGGGTTTATTGGAGGTGTGCAGGAGAGGTTGGCAATTTTATTATCCCTAAGAGATTTTTTTGGTAGACTGTTCACAGCACCAGGCAAGTGGAAACTCATTTGGATGATTTTATTTTATTTTTTTCTAATTTGCTTTTGATATTTACTAATTATATTGCCCATATAGTTGCCAAAAATTGACTTAGTATTTAATTAGTTGTCATCATTGTATAATTTAAATTCTATTTCCTTTACCAGTACCTTTCAGAAGTAGTTCTCAATTCTCAAGTTCTTCAAAGAACTCAAAATGTGTGCAGTAGTGAAAGAAACAGTCATAATACTGCAGACACACTATGTGAAGGTCATCCATTGGCACTCTTTTGCAAAGTATCAAAAAATGTGCTTTACCTTTACAAGGGAATACTTTTTTTCCTTTAAATCCTCACCTTTTGAAATTTAAGCAGATTAACCAGGAGATTCTAAAGTAATATTGGCTGCATTTTCCATTGCTGCCAAATACTCTGTACTCTAAGAATAGAGAGAAGGAGTACAGTGAACTCTTGGTTCATAAAACCAAGACACTTCCTTAATTGGGGAACATCAATGTGTGGTTGCCTATTAGCACCTTGATGAGGTGGTGTAATGAGCAGTCTATTTGTTTCACACAGGCTCTGGGGCAGGTGATTTTTATGAATGGCACTCTGATGCTTGATAGTAAGAGTTCTGTTTTTCTCATGAAAGAGGTTTGAGATTAGGAGTCGTGGTGACTTTTATATATGGAAGAACAAGAAATTTCACTGTATCAAGAAAGAGTTTTTATTTTGTTCTTGCTGGTAGTATTCACATTTCTGGCTAAGGCATTTTTCCTCTGTGACCTGGTCTCAAGTTTAAAGGAATGATGTTCTCTGGAAGAATTTTGAACCCTGTTTAATTTTTGTTGTCTTGTTGCCATTGTTTTCCAGCATCCTCCAGGACAAATAGCAAGGAAATACAGCTCCTGCTCCACGATTTTCCTAGATGATAGCACAGTCAGTCAACCAAACCTCAAGTATACAATTAAATGGTGGGTATACAGATTTTTGCTTACCCAAATGCTTTTTCTATTCCTTAACTTGATGGCTAACTGGTTGGTTGTGGGGTCAGTCAGGGGAAGGCCATTGATTGTGGATAATCTTTTTAAAAAGTGATTTGGTAGTTAAAATGTGAGGTATTCAAAATATTTCTCCATATTATCAGTTATTTGAAAAGACCAAATTTTAAATTGTTTTGAATGTGGATTAAAGGATATTTTTTATTTTGGGGGCATACTTTCTACCTTCTCACTTTTTATTAAATTCATCTTTGCATAACTCTGCTAATATTTTACCTTCAAAATAATACAGGATTCCAGTTTAAGACTTGGCTACCGTAGAAAGCAGGCATTGACATAGTGAAAGTGTCCTTGCCCACAGTTGACCTGAGTTCTGACCTCTGCTCTATCACCAGCGGGGAGGGTTTGGGTAAGACCCTTCTCTTTGTAATCTTATTTTCAAATGGGGTTTAAGGAAGGAAAGGGAGTCTTGGCATACAATTTTTTCCCTTTGGACTTTAGTTTCCATATTTTATAATGGGAGGGAATAGGCTTCTCCTGTAATGTTGCCACTAGTGTTTTGAGATCACAGAGAACCTGATATGCTGGGCCTGTGGTCTTCAGCTCATCTGTGAAAAATCTGGGATATTTTATCTTTATGCTTAAGAAAATATACACTTAACAACAATTTATGTTAGTGTTTGAAGTAACTGTTTACATTTCTAAATAGAAAATGTTCTTTTTCAATGGGCTAAGTTTTGAGGCTAAAGCCCTGTTCTGAATGTTACCACATGTGACAATCAGTCATAGCCTCAGGCAGGCAGTGAGGACTCCTCATGGTCTTCTGTAGACAGACTTCACTCCAGGGGAAGGTGGATGTGGGAGCACTGGGAGGGAGGCTGCCTTCTCTTTTGTGGGGTTGATATCATAGGCTCTAAATGGGAATGTTGCTTATTCCCTCAGCACCTTGGTGATAAGGGGTGTGGTCAATGACAAATGAGCATAAATCCAGTCAGTTGCTATAGGTGGGAAGAGGTATGGATAGCATAGCTCTCAACACATGTCCTCGGCTGAGCCACTCCTGCCCTTGTGCCTAGGTGTACTGTGGGGAAATGGGAAATGGCAGTGTTTTCCAGAGTAAATTGTTGGCAGTTGTGAAGAGAAGTGGAAAGTCCTGAAGATATGTGCACCACGTGGTTATGGGCATTTGCTGAAGCTCTGGAGCTCAGAGCAAAAGGCTAAATTCCTTTAGTCCTGGAATCATCTTCATGGGAAGGAAGACAGAGTAGAGCAGAGCAGAGCAGAGGATGCCTTCTTTAGGGCCAGTGGGAGCTCTTGGGATTTACAAGTGGATCTGAATAAGTTGCTCAATGCTTTGTCTTTGGATAAATTGAAATTCCCACTGGTTGTGACATGGACACTTAGGAGTGGGTGGGAAGACACGGTAACAATTTGATATTGTAGTGTCTCAGCTGTGAGGTGCAATCACCTGTTGCAACTATGCATCTGTGTTAATCAGTGGTACCAGCCCCACCTGTGCCAGGGAGTCACCTTGGCACTTAAAAACACACCGACATTTGATGTCTCACCCCACAGATCCAGTGTATGGATTTTGTAGAGTCTCTAGGAGATTCTAGTGGGCAGCCAGTGTTGAGGACCATGATGTAGGTGGACAGCTGCTCTCCCCTTCCATCAAAGTTTCCTTGAAAGTTGTAAATAAACTATAGGTAACTGGTAGGAAAAGAAGCTAAAAAGTTAGATCAGTTCAGATGGCTGACTTTTGAAATAAAACTTTCAATGTGGGTACTATGGCTTCCCAGGTCCAAAAGGCATTCTGTCTGCACCACCCAAATTTGATATTCTTTCAGTCAGTAGCTTAGTTGTCTTGAAAAGGACCCTGCTTTTAAACATGTACCTACTGACTTCGGGCCAAGATGGAGGCGTAGGTAGACATACTTTGCCACCTCACACAACAATAAGAAGAATAACAACCAGTTTAAAAACAAAAAACAATCAGCACTTCCAGGAAATTGAACTGTATGGAAGTCTGACAACCAAGGAGTTAAAGAAGAAACATTCATCCAGATGGGTAGGAGGGATGGAGATGGGCAGCCAGGGCAGAGAGGACACATGGCAAAGTGGCGGCAGTGGTGGCTGGTAGAATGGGTAGTCTCACATTCATGTGTGGCAAATCAAAACCAAGAGGGACAACTGGGGAGCAAGTGATCCCAACCCAAACCCAGACCACGCAGTCTAGGGTTCCAGTGCAGGGAAAATAAAGCTTAATAACCTCTGGTTGTAAAAACTAGTGGGGGCTGCACTGGCAGAAGAAACTGCCAGTCTCTCAGGACAGTTCGTTTAAATGGGGCAAGAGCTGAGTAAGCAGCATTGTTCCCTCTCTGGCCTCTCCCCCACATACAGTGCCACAGAGCAGCAAAGCGGTTTGTCCTGACCTGGCGAATACCTAAGGCTCTGCCCCGTATATTGTAACAGGTGTGCCAGCACAGGGAGTCAAAGCGGCTCTACCTAATACACAGAAACACAGGGAGGCTGTCAAATAGAGGCAACAAAGAAATATGGCCCAAATGAAAGAACAGATCAAAACTCCTGAAAAAGAACTAAGTGACATGGAGGTAGCCAGTCTATCAGATGCAGAGTTCAAAATACTGGTGATCAGGGTGCTCACAGAAATGGTTGAGTATGGCCACAAAATAAAAAAGTGAAAGCTATACAAAGTGAAATAAAGAAAAACATAAGGGAAACCAACAGTGAAGAGAAGGAAGCCAGTACTCAAATCAATGATTTGGAACAAAAGGAAGAAATAAACATTCACCCAGAACAGAAAGAAGAAACAATTCAAAAAACTGAGAAGAGGCTTATGAACCTCTGCGACAACTTTAAACATACCAACATCCGAATCATACGGGTGCCAAAAGGAGAAGAGGAAGAGCAAGAAATTGAAAACTTATTTGAAAAAATAATGAAAGAAAAATCCCCCAATTTGGTGAAGGAAATAGACGTACAAGTCCAGAAAGTGCAGGTAGTCACAAAGAAGTTGGACCCAAAGAGAGCCACATGAAGACATGTCATAATTAAAATGCCAAAGATTAAAGATAAAGAGAATTTTTAAAAAGCAGCTAGAGAAAAGGAGAAAGTTACCTACAAAGGAGTTTCCATAAGACTGTCAGCTGATTTCTCAAAAGAAACCTTGCAGGCAAGAAGGGACTGGTTACAAGTATTCAAAGTGATGAAAAGCAAGGACCTACATCGAAGATTACTCTGTCTAGCAAGGCTATCATTTAGAATGGAAGGGCAGATAAAATGCTTCTCAAACAAGGGAAAGCTAAAGGAGTTCATCACCAAGCTTTTATTATATGAAATGTTAAAGGGACTTATCTAAGAAAAAGAAGATAATCAAAAATCCAAACAGTAAAATGACAATAGACTCACAACTATCAACAACCAAACCTAAAAACAAAACAAAACAAAAATGAACTAAGCAAACAACTAGAACAGGAACAGAATCACAGAAATAGAGATCACATGGAGGGTTATCAGTGGGGGAGTAGGAAGGGGAGAGAGAGGGAAAAGGTATAGAGGATAAGCATAAATGGTAGGTAGAAAATAGACAGGGGGAGATTAAGAATAGTATGGGAAATGGGGAATTCAAAGAACTTACATGCATGCATGACTCATGGACATGAACTAAGTGGGAGGAATGCTGGAGGGAGTAGGGGTACTGGGTGGAGGGGGGCAAAAGGGAAACAAATGGGACAATTGTAATAGCATAATCAATAAAATACACTTAATTTTTAAAAAAGGAAAAAGGAAAAAAATGTACCTGTTGTACCTGTGAGCTCTGAAAATATAAGGAGGGGGGTAGGAAGAGGCTAAATCTGAATGCCCTCCTATTCTAAAATTTTGCCTAAACCTTACCCTGCACCTGTTAAGGGAAACCTTTGGCTCCCTCTCCTAGACATTGCAATTGATTACACACTCATTAATACTGTAGTTCAGCTTTGTTGTGGGTATGGTGAGCATTTGTGGGCTGAACTTGCTTTCTGAAAACCATGTATGATCTTTTCTCTTTGAGAAAATTCTCTTGTTCTAAACAACCAATTTCTATTCTTATTTTTAAAAGAAAATGCTTCTGTAAATTGATGAATTGCAAAAACGAACAAACATATTTACAAATTTAGTTAGGGAGTGGGTGGAGAGTTGAGTGTTATTGTAACAGTGAAAGAAAGGCTTAAGTATTAAAAATTTGGGCCCTCGCTCTATGCTCATTGTTTTCATAGGCATTCCTTCTTTTTGGAGAACTTGATTTTCCCATCTTTCCTCTAAATGCTAACAGCTGTGGTATGAATTTAGTGTTTACCAACCAACTCCCCTCCCAGATCCTTGTAGGGAGGATGATGACAAAGATTGGAGGGAAGATGGGGAGCCCTATTCACACAGCTGGCTGACAGGGTCAGGGAGCACTAATTCGCTACCTGCCTCTCTCTCAGTGTTTTGGAGCCCCTTAATCTTCTGAGGTCTTAGGATCCTCGTCTGCTTTGCTGATTTAGTTCTAGGTGAAAAGTAAGACAAGTGTAGTACCAATGATCACAATCTGTTCTGTTTCTTTGGTCAAGAAAATAGCATTTCTTCCTTTGTAGCTATGTGGCAAAAGCAGTTAAGCAAATCCTTTGATCCAAATGTACTTTTGGTTTGGCCCAAGCCCATCTTCGGTGAAACCTCACCACTTTCTGAAGATGTGGCAGAAATGACCAGGCCTCCAAAGCTAGGTTAAGCATTTGGAGCAGAGCCTGAAGCTAGAGATTGATTCAGCTTTCAAGTGACTGCCCTTTACCCCCAGCTATCACTTCTCTCAAGATAACCAACTAAACTGGCCCATGGGGCTGGACTGTACATGAATTCTCAGGTTGGTTTTTTCAATTTCTGGGATATGACCTGGAGTGGAAATTGTCTTATATAGTGGCTCTATTTTTCTTTTCTTTTTTAAAAAATTATATTATTGTTGTTCAAGTACAGTTGTCTGCATTTACCCCCTTTCTACTCCCTTCCTACCCTAGTGGCTCTATTTTTCATGGAGGTCTGAGACCATGATAATGTCCTGTTTTGCCTTTGGCTCTGGAAATTTGGCAGATAGTAACTCTGGGGCCCTGCAGATTTTCACTCACTCTGCAGAAGCCAATAGACCTTTTGAGATAGAATTATTGATGGGGGAATCACAGTGATAATAACTTCAGTTTTAGAACTTTATATTTGAGATTATGCTGTTATATATTTCATTTGGTTATAACAACTCCATGTTGTATGAGGTGGCACCCAGAAAAAAAAACAGTCATCTCCTGGAAGATGGCCTCTTGTAGTACAGGCTTCCCCCACTAGGTGAGTGCTTTAGGAATCCATCTGTGTCAGTGTACCAGCTGGAGTTGTGAGAATCTGTGGCTTAAGTGAATTTCTTTTGAAGACTTTCAACACATCTACTCATTTCATGATGGGTGATTTATGAGTGCACCTGTCCACACTGTGCTGATTGTTGAGCAGTTTTGACCGAAAACAGCATGACCCCCATGCCCCACCCCCATATCCTCCGATCTTACCCCAGCAACTTTTTTTTTTGTTTCCCTGGGTGGAAAAAAGTCCTCAAAGGGAAATGTTTCACTGATGTAGAAAAGGTGAAACAAAAAATGGCAGAAACACTAAAAGACAACAGAATTGATGAGTTCAAAAAGTGTTTTGAGCAGTGGAAAAAATGTCTCAATGGGTGTATTGCATCAAATGGAGGCTACTTTGAAGGTGACAGAAGTTTAAACATGTAAGAATAAACACCATTTTTTATAAGTAAATTCCAGGATTTGGGGGTCACTCCTCATAGGTTGAATGGTCCTAATATTCAACATTAGGAAATGAAGGCCCTGAGAGGTGAAGGAGCCATGTTTGAACCAGGTTCCTCCATTTCCCAGTCCAGGGACAGTTGTCCTGTGTCACATTCCCTCACAGGAGAAGCGAATGATTAATTACTACGAATCCAATAATATGAAATGTTCAGCTTAAATCTAACATTAGATTAGAAGAGCAATCACAACAGTGTGAAGAAAACAGTGATTTTTTTCCTTTTCCCAGAGGTATCATGGTCAAATGAAAGGGCACAAAATCATACAAGTTAGAAATCCTGGCATCTGGTGTCTGAACTTGAATTTTGTCATTTATAAAATAGAATCAGTAACATCTATTTTCCATTGTAGGGCTGGTTCATGTATGTGAAACACTTTGAAGACCATATTATTTTTTAAAATTCTGAAGCTTTTTTACCCCACTTAGAATTCTTTCATCAGCTTAAATTTTTTTCAAGATGTTAGGAATAAGAGAATATATTATCATTTGCTCATGAATCCTTTTAACACTTAGCTGAAATCATTTGAATGAATAGATCTGGAAAGAGAAGGATTGGAGGAATATGTTTTCTTTTGATACAGTGAGATTAGCTATTGTCATGTGAAGTCATAGGTAAGCACCTGAATTCTTGGATTCCAGCAGGTATGCCTAAGTCTCCAAGTGGGTGCCTTCGAAGGACAGTGCCTTGGATGGCAGTTTTTGTGTTCTGAGACCCAGAACACAGTCTGATACAGCTAGTTAGCTATGTTCTTAGGAGCTTAAAAAAGGAATGTTGGCCCCCTCAATAAATTTTATTTTATTTTTTTAAGATTTTATTTATTTATTTTTAGAGAGGGAAGGGAGGGAGAAAGAGAGAGAGAGAGAAACATCAATGTGCGGTTGCTGGGCTTCATGGCCTGCAACCCAGGCATGTACCCTGACTGGGAATCGAACCTGTGACACTTTGGTTCGCAGCCCGTGCTCAATCCACTGAGCTACGCCAGCCAGGAATAAATTTTAAAGTAAAACAAAAATATTGGAAGGAGCTAGTCTCTACAAAAGAGGAAATTTTTAAAAAATTGGCCAGTCAACACGAAAATTCTGCCACCTTGATAGGTTATCAAAGAAACTCAAATTGAAAACAGGTGGACCGCTTTTTAACCTACCTAGTTGGAGAACATGTTATCAAAACATTTAAGGTGAGTGCTGGTAGGAATGAGGTAAAATAGACACTGGTGGGGAAGTACAGTGGTATAGTTTTTTGCAAAGATATTTGGCAGTGTATGTGGGGAGGCTTACAATTATTTAGATTAATTGTAAGACTTTAGATTAATCCCAATTATATGATGTTCTCTTATGGAAATGTAGTCACAGGCTGCACAAATATTTGTCTAAGGATATGTATTATGCTGTTAATTATAATTGCAAAATATTAGAAACATGTTCAATAGGAGGAATGGTTAATAATTATTGAACAACTATGTGATAGAACATAGGCATTTAAAATTATGTTTTTAAAGAATATTTTAATGGTAAGAAAAATGCTAGTGAGGATAAAAGTAGGACACAAACCTATTTATTTACACATATAATGTGTAGAGTCTGTGTATCTCAAGCTAATAGTCATCTTTGGGCAAAGGATTTTATTTATACTTATTTTTATTTATACTTCCTGTATGTTCTAAAAATTTTATCCTATGAGTATAATGCATTTTATAAGCAGAAAGACATTAGAAAACATCAGGGGAAGGAAATATCTTTGTTAAATTAAGATCTTTTAAAATAAAATAGTATAAAATATACTATAATATATAGTATACTAGTATAATATACTATATAAATATAGTATAAAATAAAATTTTAAGGTCATATAACATATAAGAAGTATAGCACCATTTCAGCAAGTGAGTAAGTAGGCAGATTGCCAAGGGGTTATTGATTTAAGAGGAAAAAATATCAAACCACTGTGGGTGATATTCACATTTTTCTGGTAGCTATAAAGAAACCACTGATTTTTTTAAGTACTGGATACTGAGTTGGAGGTTTCTAAAGGTGTTTAATTTGCACCACCTGTTTTTTTTTTTATACAGTGCCTATATTTTACAAGTGAGGAAAGCTTAGTTCAGATAGTAAGAGAAATTTTTAAACATCACTTGAAGTTTTGGTATTTCTGGAAAAGATTTAATAATTGCTAAGAAGGAGTAGCAGGATGATTCACTTTAAAGAGGGCATTTTTTTAAATTTGGCATTCTGAATTAGATGGGACTGTTTAGATGGATCGTTTGACTTAAATTTAGATATTTATGGTCAGACTTGAATATGTTTATGAAACATTGAACTGCATTTTATTTTACAGTGTAGCTCTCGCAATATATTACCACATCAAAAACAGGTATGTGGATGATTAATTTTGTACTAAAAACATTACATTGTGTTTTTTCTGTTATTTTTTCTTATTATGTTCCAGTTGCTTTGGTCTTCTTATTTTCATAGAATTTCTAAAGTTAGTATAATTTACCAAAACTTCCCAGGTAAGTGCTGAATGGTTACTGAATCCAAGGAAATCAGATGGGTATCTATGTTTAAAGGCAGCAAAAGAAACGAATCTTCTTGATAATGCTCAACTTCCTCTTTACTCTTTAAACAGTCTATCTTTATAAAATATAATTTAAAAATTTACTATATGCAAGTTTAACTTTAAAAAAATAGTGTTTCAATTTTAGTAGAGGAAATTTTGGTATAAATTTAGGCATAAATCATATTAAAGTAGTAGAAACCCTCTCTCTGATATGGCTCTGAAGATAGTTCAGTTAACTTAAAAAGTCAGTTAAAACAGAGAATCAAAGAAAAATTTTTAAAAAGTTACCTTTAATATTTCAACATAAAACACGTAAAAGTACATCCATTTGCCAGTTTTTTAATGCAGTGTCAAGACTTTAGTTTTGAGCATGGAGCATTGATTAGAGTACCAAAGTGACTTTCCTTTGTAAGTCACACCTGTAATTTATCCTTTTCCATAGTAGGATTTAAAAAAAAATCAATATCAAGGAAACTTAAGACATTTTTGCAAAACAATCAGAGCGTAGAATCGTTCAGGTTTTGACCACAACTAATCTACAATGAATTTATTTTTAGTGATGCTCTTTTATTGGGTCTTTCCAAAGCATCCTTCTTCATTTTCATAAGAACAAAGCCATTCTTATTGCAGTCTATTTCATTGATTAAATGACATTTATGCTGTATGAATCTAATAACAACTACAACTTGTGTTAAAGAACAAAATTGTACCCAGTAAATTTAAAGATCTAATTAGCTTTATTAAGTGACTCATAAGTCAGGCAGCATCCCATCTAGCAACTAGGACATTTCAGGGGTTGTACAAAATGGAAAGTTTTTATAGGCAGAAAAGGGTGGGACTAAGAAGTTAAAAGAGTGGATTACTTCAGGCGGTGACACCAGTCTTTAGGGGAAGCAGATTACTTTACTAATGCTTACAGGAAATTCCAGACTGATTGGTTTAAAAGTCCACTCCTAGGAGAGGCTGAAACTAGTTAGGTTAATTAGTTTGGCGATGTGGCTTAGCAAAAGTGACTCTATTTTGGCTTTTTTTTTTTCTTTACTTTTTTTACACTGGTGGGACCCATTGCTGGGAACAATCCTGACCTCCTCATGGTTGGAATGGATCTCAGTGGGTGGCAACCTTCAGTGTAAAGGGAAAAAGGGAGAGTTGGGATAAGCCAGTGAAGTGGAGGTTAGAGACAGACCTTCTACTGAAAAGTTTTATGGGAAAAGGTAAATGGAAATGTGTTCTCTGTAGTGACTTTTTTTCTGTATTGTAATTGTGGTTCATGGTTCTTTATAGTGCTTGAGAATTTTGGATTTAAAAATTTACAAAGTGTAGGCTATTGGACTTTTGAACCTTGACCAGAAAAACATCAGTGAAAGTGCACATTTTGTTTTGCTGCTTATTTCTATGTAAGTTGTTAAAACTTTTTAAACATTTAAGTCTTAAATTACAATGTAGTGCCGTTCATGGAACTCAGATGTGTTCTGAAGCCAACCAGTTTTGCATTAGCATCTCTTGGTGATTTCTTAGTTCTTAGACAGTTACAGACCCCAGAGTTAATTTATAGTCATAGCTGATAATAAGAGCCAGTTTTATTAAGTGCATACTCTGGCCACCCTGGGCAGCTCTTTACATGCATCATCTCATTTTTATTAATAGCTTCATGAGGTGATACTGATACTGTCTCTATTTTACAGATAAAGAAACTGGGACACAGAGAGGTGAAATAACTTGCCTAAGATTACATAGCTAGTCAATTGGGGGATGGGGAATTGAACCTGAAATATACTATCAAGACTTTTAATTGCTCTATTGGCCCAGTGCTGATAAACTGGGCCAAAAGTAAGTGAATGGAAGTGACAAAGTCCAACTGAAAAAGTGAGCATTTGTAAACCGGCATGACTGGTTTACAGAGTATATCCTGAAGGTCTTTTGGGATGAGGTGGCATTGACTGTCTGCACACTTTCTCCTTGATAAATCACACTGGCCAGACCTCTGGAGCTGTTGATGGATCCATTAGCTTGGTAGAGATGGTACTATTCAGCTGAGACACATCACTTTTAATGGAGGTGAAAGGAAAATCCATTTCTCAGAGGAGTCATTTTAGCTTAAATTCTTAATCCTCTTTCATGTCTTGAACCTACATTTTCATTTTTACAATTACTTCTGGTGAATGTTTCTTGAGAGTGCTGAAAGGCTTTTTAGGGGCTCTCATTCATCAGAAAAATTGAATAGAACTTTGAATAGAACTAAATAGCTCAAAGAAATGAGGTGTTGGGCCAGGCTTTGTCTCTCACGTAGCACCTTGAATATCTTGCAGAGGCAGTTGTGAGATGAGTATTGGCTGATTTTTCATAGCCAGGTTTTATAAAGGCTGGTGAGCCTTTAACCAGGTCACCAGGTTTACCAGAAGGAGCCAGCTCTATGTTTTTGGACCCCAGTCTCAGGTTCTGCCTGGTTGAACTTGTTTTTTACTGGTGTTTATCTAAATCTTTGCTACATGTGTTCCCTCAGGCTAGTGAAAATGAGCATGGGTATGAATGCCCAAAGCTTTTAAAACAATTAGTAATGCAAATTGAGCTTTTCTGTTAAGATCTTTCTATTTTTATGTAGGCAGTGGATTCATAGAGCAGAAATTGTGGTGTTTACCACCATGGCTGTGTGTTAGGGACATGTCTATCGTCTTCTGATGTTCACAAGCCTAATTGACATTGGAAGCGCAGACAATGGAAGTGGTATACTGTTACCAGAAACAGTGGTTTCCAAATGTGTTTTTTAAAGAAAAGTTTTTAGGCAAAACTCAACATTGACCCCATAAAAAGTAGAGCTGTCTGTGGTGAGGTGTGGATAGTCCCTGCAAGGCAGCTGCTTGAGGCACTGTGTTACAGTGAAGCCACCATTTTACCTGGCTCCTGTACCAGCCTGGTAGCAACCAGCCATTTTTTTATAGGTTTACTAGTTATTGGGCTAAGCTTTTCTATGCATCGCCTTTTGTTTTTCAATATAAAATCGTGAAACTCTTAATTAAATGGTTAAGTTGCCTGTTGTGAAAACTTCAGATTAATCTCTAGGACACATTCAATGTTCATTTTACTTCATTTTACCCTTGGACTTCTTGTCAACCATAACATACTAATAGTTTAAACTGATCTATCAGCTTTTGCTCAAGAAACAAGATGTTAAAGAAATTTAGATTTGGTTCATTTGAAAACTCAGCAAATAAAAATCGATATTTTCACTGAAATTAATTCATAACCTTTATTCTGTGGTCTATTAAAAATTATCTAATACTGTACCAAGTAAAACAAATGATTACTCACTGCCTTCTCTCTCAAGTTACACTTGGATCAAAAAATACATATTTTTTATTTTGAATGAAACTCATTCTTTCAGAAAGTAAACTCCATTTTCTATTAATTTTCCCTACCAGGGACCCAGATGGAAGGATGCTCTTAGATATTTTTGATGAAAACCTTCATCCTCTTTCGGTAAACTCCTTTTTGTGTTTCATGATATTGTTTAGTTATTTTGCTTTTGCTTTTATTGGGTGGCCAGCCATCTGAAAATATTTTCTTCCCTAGAAATCCGAAGTGCCACCAGATTATGACAAACACAACCCAGAGCAGAAGCAGATTTACCGGTTTGTTCGGACACTGTTCAGTGCTGCTCAGCTGACAGCTGAATGTGCCATTGTCACTCTGGTGAGTGCCCTCAGGATGACTGTAGGCATCTTGTAGTTGAGTGGAGTGTGAACAGGGACTCCTATCAGGTAGCCTAAGGGCACCACAGTTTCTCCTTTGGAGGTTAGATTATGGATCTTCTAAAAGAGCATGTAAAGTCTTGTTTCACAGTCTCCTCCAAAAGCTAGTTATACAGTCATATTCAAAACCAATAAATGTTGAAACCTTAAATTCAGGTAAGTAAACATGGGGCTGAAGTGGAGTAGAGAAGGCTGCCCCCTCCCAAAAAGTCCAGCTTCCTTGTTGTTGATTCCTACAAAAGTTTTAAGGACATTTGTAAGATATGATAAGCACATACATCCTACATGAATATCTATGTAGGAAGGAAGTGTATACTGCTACCTTCTCTTTTCTGAGTTTGTGTAAATAATGTGTCTATAAAATATTCAGAGACAATGTGGAGGTAATCTGCACTTTCAGACTTAAACAAGAGATAAAAATCGACACTTTTATTTAGATTCTTAAAAGTTTAGGGACTATTTAGGTCAAATATTATTTGGGAAATAGATTTGACAGTAAAACCCATTGTCACTGAACTTTTACATTGTGCACAAATCAGATAATGAGCTGTCCTAGAGGGGACAGAAAGCCATTCCCTGGATCTTCTGAGATTATTGTCTAATAGAAAGTATACAGGTCACTTGCGGACCCTTTGTGTCTCTATCACACTGAGAGTTTTGTGCTCTTCAGCTAATGCAGCAGTAAACCTGTTTGTTTATTCATACATTGATTCATCTTTTTGTTTGTTCATTCCTTCTCTGGTTTAACTTCTTGGTAATGGGTGGTAAAACAGACATTCAACAAGTAATCATTAGGCAATTTGAATGATTATAGGCTCTTAAATCATAATTAAGAAGTAGACTTATTGTTCAGCTTTGTTATCCCAAAGGATTTCAAGTTCTTCCAAAATAAACAGGGTTGAGATTTTTATGTGGAGAAATTGCAGTGAAGAGAAAAGGGTATGAAAATTAGATGAAACCATGGATGAAATTAGTACCAAGATTCATGCTCTGAAGAAATGATGTATTTTAAAGCTACTGCAGATGGCATGTGGTGATTTTTTAAACTTTAATTCCTAAGAAAATTATGACCTGACTGACCTGATCGTACATCAAGCTTAGATTTATTAGCTTATATTTTAGTATGAAGGTCAGATTTTCATTTCTGCAGCTTGCCCAGTTTCTGCAGAAATGTTGAGAGAATATCTGAAGTGCATTCCCCACTCAAGAGCAGTAGGGTAGATTAGTTAGCTCATGTCTTTGGAGTGCTATAGGACTGGTGCATATTTGTCAGTCATTTTAACTATTGAAGTCTTCACCCAGCCTATTAGATAAACTGGTAGTTTAGCAGATTAGTTTATATTGGGGTCTTGTTGGTTACAGCATAAGGATGAGCAGCTGTGGGATCCTGCATGGTGGGTGAAGCACTGCAGACTTATTATCTGGCAGCTGTTGCTTTTGTTGGCTGAGAGTCAGCCTATGTGCCCCTGTGCGGCAGACAGACATGCTGTGAGCCAGACCTTGTATCATAATTCTTTCTTTTTCTTGCATCCCCTAGACTTAGAAACAGCCATTCAGAACAGGTCCTGTCTAGAGTTGACAGAGAGACACTACTCTTGGCTTTTCTCCTATGTATTCTCTTGGCACACTGCCCAGCAGGAGAGCATGGGGGATGGGTGGGAGGACAGCAGTTAGCTCTGGCCTTGTTGCCCTCAATGAAACAAGACTGCAGCCTGTCTGTGGTGAGAGTGCTTCTAAGACCTTTAAACACTCAGCACCTAGTAAACCCCAAACAGGTATTTCACAGCTTAATTAACTTCATCTTAAAAAAGTAACATAACTTAATATCACTAAATATATTTCTTTAACCTTGCAGGATATGCTAAAAGTTTTCCTATTGACAGTGACATGGGAGGAAATTTAAAAATAAGGATAGGGTAGTTGAATTGCACCTTGCTGAGTTAAAAGTTTTTATAAGTTATGATGAAAGCACTTCAAAATGTTCCTGGCAATAGCTGTGGGAAGCTGGAGTGGGGTGGAAGGGCATAGTGTTCAGTTTCCCCTCTGCACAACCCATCCTTTGTTTTAGGAGCTACTCGAACTGGGTTATCCTTCAAGCCATGAATGGACACCCATTTTAGTTCCATATGGTGCTTTGATGACAAAATATTGCTCACTGTCTTTCTAAGTCAGGGACTTTGATCACTACAAGGATGAGAAACTTACACAAAGAGGCCAAGGTGAAAGATATATTGGAAAGTCCTGAGTCCCATGTATTTCTTGTCCTCTAGGATAGAAGTACAATACCTCAAGCTGTATAATGAGATAAACAGATTATTCTCCATTCCTATTTTTGGGGTCTTCCTCATCAGGCTTCTGCTCCTTTCTGCTGGTCTTCGGCATTAATTTTCAGTTTGGCTTCTGGTTGTTCATGCCAAAGAAGTATTACTAGAGGAAATAGAATTCTTCCACAGCATTGCAGGAAACACATTTCAAGGATACACAAACAGGATTTGAAGTGTAGTAGCAAGATTTATTCAAGGGGTGTGCAGAGCATAGATGCCTCTGAAGAGGCTGCCACACTGCCTCGTCCACGACCAGATGACTCAGCTCCATCTTGCTGCAGGCTTGCACTTGTCTGTACAAAGCCCAGGAGGAGGGTCAGGGCTTTGGCCCAGAGCTGCTGTGCCATTTCTGTGGCATTGGCAGCTGAGGCTTCAGTAGTCCAGAACAGTCTCTCATCCCTTCCAGTCTGCTTTTAACACTGCTTCACCAGTACAGCTGCCACACCCAGGCACATGTGGCTGCTATGGAGAGAGAGTGCCCTCTCCAAGAAATCATGCCCCCATCAGCCTTTGTTAAGGTTTGATTATGTCTCCGTGGGCTTTGGAGAGAGAAGGCTATCATTGAAACTAACCACTGTCTTTCCTGGATCTTCCCTGAGGTTATGTGGTGCTTTCCCCTAACCAGTGATTTTCCCAGGTTTGTACCCTTATCCTATTTGATCCTTTTCCCAGATTTTCCCAGGCTAGACTCCTCCCTTTTATGGTCACTATTTTAACTCCTACTATGCATGCCTCTGCTGCTGGTGGGGCGGTGGTTCCCTACGGAGATTGGAAAGCTGACCTTTCCTGTCCACTCAGATGCCCAGATTGTGAAGCTGCCGCTTCCTAGTTAATCCAGGTCAGTGTCCAATTGCATTTTCTCCTTTCCTTTGTTAATAACTAAGTAGCTGCCTACACTAATAGAAGTAGCTGTCCCCCAGCCTTGATTCTGTATGACTTTTTATTTAAGTCCCAACACTGGCTAATTTTATCTTATGTTTAGTTTAGATTTTGGAAATGGGATGAATTTTGATTGGTTCCATCAGTGACTGGCTCAGTTCCTTTGGGGTCAGATGTTCACCCTTAAAACAATCAGTTGTGGCTCAGAGATGGCAGGAGAAAGGGGCCCCAGGCTTTGTCGTGAGCCATCATATATTTCTTACTGTGTTGGCTCCTCTACTCAAAATCTCTTGTGGTTCCCCAACTTCGTCAGAGGAAGACGCAAAGAAAGCCCTTAGGTAACCCATGGACCCCAGCAGGATCAGACCTCATTTTCCTCTCAACTCAGCTGCCTCCACTGCCCCCTCTGGTTATTCTGCTCCAGCCACTATGGCACCCAGACACATAACTACCTCAGGACTTTGGCACAAGATGTCCTGATCTCTTTCAAGTCTTTGGTCAGAAGGCATGTCAGTGGAGCCATGGTATTTTAAATTGTAACCTTCCTTCTCCCTCATCATTCCCTTCTTGTTTTATTTTATTTATTATTTTATTTTATCTATAAGCTCAATGATTAGTGATTTTCTATCTTTTTGCCTTTTTTTGTTTGTTTACTGCAATATGACCAGCATCTGGAACACATCCTGGTACACAATAAATGCTCAGTAAATATTTATTAAATGTTCAAAGTAAGCTTAGTAATCACTGCCTACTGGCTGAAGTAAATAAAAATGGTGTTGATATGCCCCACACTTTGAAACATAAGGAGCATTCTGTGGCTATTTGCTATAGTCTACCCTTCCCCAGAAGTAGTTTTATAACTTTAAATTCATATTCTTCCATTTCACTGCTTAAGTTATTAAAGTGAATTTTCTGAAGGGAGGGTGTCATAGTCTTTTGCTGTGGGTACATTGCTCAGCTAGGCCTCTGACTGAGCGTTGCTAACAAAGGTTGGTTCTGTCTGAACAACTGTGGTGATAGGTGATGAGAGGGAGAGAGGAAGTTAGTGAACGATGGAGTGGAGTCAGGTATAAAAAAAGGGGAATCAAGAAGAAATGGAGGTGGCAAAGTGAGAACTAACCAGACAAGAGAAGATATGCTAGCTTTCTATTAATTATCTATATAGCTATGTTAAAGTACAGTTACCATACCATGGAATCCACTCATTTAACATGAACACTTAAGTAGTTTTTAATATGTGATGCAACCATCCACAACCTAATTTCAGAATATTTTCATCACTTAGTAAAGATACCCCTTATCCTTTAACAGTCATCACTCTTCATTCCTGATCCCCACCTCAGATATGGGAAACCACTAATTTAGTTTCTGTCTCTGTGGATTTGCCTACTCTGGACATTTCATATAGATGGATTCATATAATATGTGGTCTTTTCTGACTGGCTTCTTTTCACTTACAAAATGTTTTCAAAGTTCATATACATTTTAACATGTACAGTATTTTCTTTTTATTACCAAGTAATATTCCATTGTATGGATATACCACATTTTGTGTATTGGTTGATGGACATTTGAGTTTCTACTTTTAGCTGGTACGAATAATGCTTTTGTGAACATCTGTACACACATTTTTAAGTGTGCATATGTTTGCATTTGTCTTGGTAAACACCTAGGAATGGAATTGCTAGGTCAGGTGGTAAATCTATGTTTAACTTTTTGAGGAACAGCTTGACTGTTT